CAAAAGGTCCTCCATTTTCAGCAGGGCTAAGCAGCATGAATTTACATTTATAGGAGTGTTTTTAGCATAGGGTGGTCAGGCATCCTCTTTTCCCAGGGCATATCCTCCATTTAATTACCTTCTATCCTGGAGGAATTCCAAAATTATCCTCCATTTTAAGCAGGACTAAGAAGCATGAATTCACATTTAAAGGAGTGTTTGTATGGGGGTGACCAGGTGTCCTCCTTTTCCAGGACATTTCCTACATTCTATCTTCTGTCCAGGAGGAATTCCTAAATGTCCTCTGTTTTGAGCAGGCTGAAAAAGCATACATTTATCTTTCTCTCAGTGTTTTTAGCTTTTATTTGGTCATGTTCTCCATTTTTTCTTCAAATGCCCAGAATTTTGCAGTGCCTTGTCCTCCTTTGTGGTTAGGACATCTGGACACCCTCTAGGATATGATGCAAAACAACAGCAACAACCTTCATATAAACAGAGATTGATGAGCATCCTAGTCATACCCAAAATGGAGGACATTTTGGAATTCCTCCAGGACAGAAGGCTAAGATGTAGGAAAAGGAGGAGGACGTCTTGTCACCTCGCGATAGGATAGAGTCATGGGCAGCCTAAAACAGGCTGGCCTACTGCACCTGTGCCACCCCATTTATTTACAGCGCAAAATCTGGAATTAAGGGTGCATTTCGTGGTTCTTACCTGCCCTCCAGTGGACCTTGACTCATGGCGACCCTGTAGATGAGACACCTCCAAGACCTCCTGTCATCCGCCTCTCTGCTTAAATCTTGTAGATTCATGCCCATGGTTTGAGTCTGACCATGGGACATGTGGAGTCAGTATGGCATCATTGTTTGAGTGTTGCACTACAACTCTGGAGACCAAGGTTTGCTTCTCTGGAGACCAAGGTTTGCTTCCCTGCTGGACCGTAAAGCCCACTGGATGACCGTGGGCTAGTCACATTTTCTCAGCCTCAGAGGATGGCAGTGGCAAACCCCCTCTGGAGAAACCTTCCAAGAAAAGCCCAGAACTCGTCTTAGAGTTCACCTAAGGATCACCATAAGTCGGAAATGACTTGAAAGCACACAACAACAAGAAGTCAAGGCCAAAGAACAACTCTAGATACCTGAAATATAAGCCTAAATCCCATTGCTTGTTCCAGCTAGAACCAACTGAATTAATGAGATTTACATTTATTGATATACCACTTGGCAATAGATCCATGCCTATGGTGTGTGGAGCCAGTGTGGTGTAGTGGTTTGAGTGTTGAACTACAACTGGGAAGACCAGGATTCAATTCCCAGCTCAGCCATGTAAACCCACTGGGTGACCTTGGGCAAGCTACACTCTCTCAGCCTCAGGGGAAGGCAAAGGCAAACCTCCTGAACAAATCTTGCCAATAAAACCCCATGATAGGTTTGCCTTAGGGTCACCATAAATTAGAAATGACTTGAAGACACACATCATCTAGTCTGTGGTCTTCCTCTCTTTTTATTGCCTTTCACTTTTCCCATCATCATTGTCCTTTCTAATGAGTCATGCCTTCTCATGATGTAGCCAAAGTACGACAGCCTCACTTTGGTCTCCTTGGCTTCCAGACAGAGTGCAGGCTTGATCTGTTCCAGGACCCATGTGTTTGTCTTTTTGGATGTCCACAGTATCCTCAGCACTGTTCTTCAGCACCACATCTCAAATGAGTTGATTTTCCCTCTGTATGCTTTCTTCAGTCTTCAGCTCTCACATCTGTACATGGTGATGAGGAATATGATGGCTTGGATGATCTTCACTTTAGTGTCTTGAGTTATTTACTCTGTGGAAATAATGCAGTTTGAGACCACTTTAATTGTCATGATTCCATCCTACAGAATCCTGGGATTTGTAGCTTTACAGGGCACCAACACTCTTTGCCAGAGAAAGCTAGAGACCTTGTAAAGCTACAAATCCCAGGATTCTGTAGGATGGAGCTACAGCACTTAACGTGGTATCAAACTACATTATTTCTACTGACTAGATGCACCCTGAGTTTAAACAGACAGAACGGGCTCTATGTCCTAGTCCTAGCAGTCATTGCATTTGGAATTGCAGTGGTGTCCTATACAGGTCTGCTCAGAATCAAGGTACATTGAGTTCAATGGGACTTATTCCCAAGTAAGTACATACTGTAGCGTTAAAACAGTGGTTCTTTTGCCTGTCATCTGTTTCGAACTTCAGGGCCCAGAACCTTTGACCATTGGTACTGATGGCTCAAGTTTATGGGAGTTGACGTCCAAAACATCTGGAAAGCCAAAGGTTGAAAACCAGTGATTTAGAACAGTGCTTCATAATTTTTGACCCTCCTATCGTTTTGTACTTCAGCTCTGACAGTTTCCAGACATAATAGCCCATCCTCAGGAATTCTGCAAGCTGAAGTCCTAACATCTGGCAGGCCAAAATTTGAGAATCACTGGTCTAGAAGATAGAATTGCTCCTACATGTTTACAATAATTCCAGGTGTAGAAAACATTATGGCTAGTCAGAAGCTGTTGGACTGCAATTCCCATTAGCTTTATCAAGCATGACCATTGGTGAGCAAGGCTGGCGGCGCATTCCAACATCTGGAGAGTCACACATCTATTCCTGGTTTATTCAGTATTTCAGCCAAGAATGTTTATACAAACTATTATTTACCCACAGAAATACTATGTACTAAACAGAAATCAGCACTGAATTCTAGAAGTTCATATCTTTTCCATGTATATAGGGCTGCAGCTTCTCAATTACTGTGCCTTTGAAGTTCATCCCTTCCTGCCTACCAAATAAAATGTTTGCTTTACTTATTCAATCCTCTGTGCAGTTATGACAGATATATAACTTTCAGCTTCTAATTATGATAATAACACAAAAGCAAGGGATGTGTGGCTCTTGGGATATTGTTTAACTGTAGCACTTGTAATAATAATAATAATTTTTAAAAATCGCAGATGACCACTCAAAGAAATACTGTTACAGGTGTGCAACCTGTCCTTATACCCCACCCCTCTGCATAGCAATTGGGGCAGCTTCCAACATAAAATACAGTACAATAAAAATCAATCCCAGCCCAACTCTCCCACCCCTTAAAAGTTATTAAACAATCCTCAGTTAAAATAAATTTAAAATTTACACCAATGCCAGCAATTTACAATAACAAATCAATAGCAGATCAACAGAGACGGCTGTTAAGGCAGTTAAATGGGGGAGGTAAAAAATACAGTTGGTTAAGCGCTTATGACTGGGAAGACTAATTGGGAAAGGCCTGCTGGAAGAGATCTGTTTTGACAGCCCTTTTTAAGCTGTCTAAGGTCATTAGATGACAGATCTCGTCCGGCAGGCCATTCCATAATCTGGGAGCAGTCATCAAAAAGGTCCTCTGGGAGGTTGCTGACAGTAGATTTTTTTCACCTGTAGCAGATTCATCTCAGAGGACCAAAGCACTCGGGGAGCATTATATGGGAGGAGGCGGTCTCAGAGATATGTTGGACCCAAGCCATTTAGGGCTTTATAGGTAATTACTAACACCTTGTACTGGATTCGGAAATTTATAGGCAGCCAATGAAGAGACTTCAGTACAGGTGTTATATGGTCTCTTTTAGATGTACCCGAGACCAACCTGGCTGCCATATTCTGAACTAATTGAAGTTTCTGTACGAAGCATGAGGGTAGCCCCATGTAGGGTGCATTACAGAAATCAAGACGGGAGGTTACCAGAGCATGTACCACAGTTTTGAGATCCTTACTTCCAGGAAAGGGTGCAACTGGCGTATCAGCCGAAGCTGATAACGGGCGCTCCTGGCTGTCGCATTCACCTGATTAGTCATCTGAAGCGACGAGTCCAGGAGCACCCCCAGACTGCGAACACAGTCCTTTATGGTGAGTGTGACACCGTCCAGGACTGGAGGTTGTATCCCGATACCTGGTTTCAGGGCGGTTACTGTAAGTACCTCAGTTTTGTCTGGATGACCAGCCTTGGTCATCATAGCTAATGGTCAAGTGTGATGGAAGTTGCAGTCCAAGAATATCTGAAGATGCATATATTCTCTCTTCCTGATGTATGTTATTCCAGTAATCCTCACCACATCATTGTAAAGTAGTTCAGTGTTATAATTCTCATGTTGCAAATGAATGCCACACTAGAAAATGAGCAACTGGTATACAGCTACCAAGTACATAGAAAAGGCAATATTTGATATGGGGACTTCAGAATTCATAGAATTGGAAGAGACCACAAGGGCTATCCAGTCCAACCCCCCCATCATGCAGGAACACAGAATCAAAGTACCCACCACAGATGATCATCCAACCTCTCTTTAAAAACCTCCAAACAGGCCATGCTCAGAAAATAACTACAGTTGGCCCTCTGTTTTTGTGGCGGATCCGTTCTGGACCCACCCCTGCAAAAATAGAGATTCGGCAATATTCAAGCCCCATGGGCTTGAATGGGGTGTACCCCATTAATTTTCACACAGGTCGCCCCTCCATAAATATGCAGATCCGTGGACGAGAAAGGAGGGGCAACTGTACATGTTGTCGGGAAGATGTTGTGGCTGCCACTAATATGCATCTCTGCTAGCAAGTCCCCACAGTCAGCATTTCCTTGCTCCAGGTCCAGTTCGTTAGTTTCCTCTTCTGGATTGGGGCAGTAACATCAAGCACATCTGGTAGACATGTAGGTCATTTACCCCATAAAAACTAGTAAGATCTTGAACCATTATACCACAGCAATCTCATTGCTGTAGTGACAAAACCCTTCTAATGTGGTCTGTATGTACGCTATATGTAGATGATTTTTTTAAAGAAGCAAATACGAAAGAATATATTTTTGGTATTTTTTTAAAAATGTAATTTTGAATTATTGAACATAGGGAAGAAAGATAGCACCAATTTTATATGTCCCCTCCCTTAAAAAACTCCTAAGATGGCAAACCTCAAAAGACTATATTTTCAGAGGCACAATAACAAATAAATTGTGTACATTTATAAACAACACAATGTTCTTCAGGGTATTTTGTGATTTGATTCTCTCTCTCTTAAATTAAACCCTGAAATAATGAGGATGAACAAGGATAAAACTGTAAAAATAATAGAGTAAGGCAATATCTTATGAGTGAACACATTTATTGTGGTTAACTTTTCCTTGACTTGGCCCATTTTGTCAAATTCATAAAATTCAGTTCTCTTCAATTGCAGAACTATAAGCTTTTTGAGAAGGGATTATATTTAAAATGATAATATTGCAGACCATTGGAGAAACTCTTCAGCTTCATAAATCACTTTCTCACTGCCTTCAAGGTGGTTGTTGTTAACTGCAGTCAAGTCAGCTCCAACTTCTATCATCAGCAGCTCTGATAAGGTCTGTGGCTTCCCTGATTGAGTTTTTGTTGGTGGTGTGTGCCTTCAAATCATTTGTTCTTCTGATTTCTTTACACGCTACCCAATGCTGCCATTTCTCTTTCCAATCTTCCTTTGTAGTTCTTTTTGTTCAAGGGCTGCTGTTCTAAACTACAAAGAATTACAAAGGAAGATTGGAAAAAGAAATAACAGAATTGGAATGTGTCCACAGAATCCAGTCCATCAGCAATGTGTTGAACAGAGACAGTGGTTTCCTGGCATGATACATTTCAGCACTATCTACCATACTTCTCTGGTTCCCACACTACATTCCAATACTCATTCATATGATTATCTACTCTCCTTGGCTTTAGGCAACATCCTTCCTCCTGCCTTTGACTCCCAAGACCATCCTTAAAACTGAACTTGCCACTTCATCTCCATACTCACAAGATTTTGAATTTCAGTTGACATTCTCAAAGACTCATATAGGCCTGTCTCTGGACTCTGCACTTTGCCCTGTACATCTGAGGAAGTAGGCTCAAGTCTACAAAAGCTCATGCTATTAGCTTCTTTATTTCGTTAGTCTCAAAGGTGCTACAAGATCCCTTGGCACACTTTAGTCACAAAAATATTTAGGTGTCCTCTTGTGACCAACATCAACTGGAAATCACTATCTCTTGAAGTAATTACTAGCCTTTGTTCACTTTATTGAATTGATATCCTGCAATATCCCGTTTAGGTTTTCCATATTTTATTTTGCAGGAGTGCAGGTTCTGTGACTTTAACAGATGTATGACTAACAGAAATTAAGCACAAGAATCTTGTCTCCTCACTGTGTCTTAATGCCAAGAAAGCTTATATTCAACTTTCCCAATAAGTATCTTATTTCCTTTTGCTTTACCATTTCTCTCCTTCCTGGTCAGTTTTATTCTTCACAGAGATTCACAAAAGCGATATAAGGGC